GCTCGCACGTACGCTCCGAAATTCGCGTCACGTTCGGTTCTCTCTCTCTCTCTCTCTCCCGCATTAATTCGCACGCTAATTCGAGTCGTCGTGCAGGCACGGCACAGCACAGCACAGCAACGCAAAATCAAATCTCATCATTGCGCTTCGTATTCAGCGCGCAGGTACATAATACAACGCATACGTGCAGGCGCTTATACGTATGGGAAATGTGCTGCTGCTGCTGCTGCTGCGAGGAAGCAAAAAAATATTGTCGATTCGACAATTGGTAAATTATACGTGAGAGAGAGCTAAAAAGCGAGCGAGCGAGAGTTAGCGGAGGAAACGGAGCGCTTTCGAGCGTGAACAGCGTCAAAAGTTGCGTTATACTTCCCCAGCTGCGTCGCTGCTGCTCCTGCCACCATCATCCCAGCTTCTTCTCAAACATCGATTTAGCACTTCAGTGGTTTGCCTCTCTCTCTTTCTCTCTTTCTCTTCTTCTTCTTCTTCCTCTCTCTCTCTCTCTCTCTCTCTCTCACTGGCTGCGAGAAGATCGCTTTTGAAGCAGCTTCTGTGTACAGCGTTAATGCAGCTTGCAGCAGCAGCAGCAGCAGCTGCCTCCCCGGCTTTCTCGCTGCCTAGCTGCTGGTGCTACCCATTAAACCGACTCCGAGCGGCCACAAATCTACAGAGAAGCAGCACTTGCTACCTCTGCCGCTGCTGTTGCCGTTGCTGCTGAACGACCCCTGCACACAACTGCCACTGCACCGCTGTTGTGTTGCCGCTTCTGCTTATGCAGCCTCTCTATATACGCACGAGCTTCAGCCCCTCACGGCAGCTCCCCCTCGACACCCCTCCTGCTTCCTCCTGCGGGCGGTGGCTTTATTCTGTTTGGATATAGGCTACGTGCCTCGTGGTTTTGCATTAGTTGCACTTTTCCTTCCTCCTAACCCCCCAGCCGCCTCTCACGAACGATTGTTTGCCAGACCGAGCTAGAGCTTTTTGTGCCGGCGTATGTGTGTGTGTTGTTTTCGTTAATCGCGCGCAACTATATAAATAATGATCAAAAAAGCGCACGCTAATTATCGAGTTAATTATTTTGCCTCGATTTAAACGCGACGCAGCTTTTATTCGCGCGTCGAGCAAATATTTAGCGATATTTCAATTAACCGTGCGTCATCGCGGCAAGAGATTTTATAATAATGATTAAAAATTAAACGAGATGATTACGGTCTAGACGGGGAGAAAATTTCACCCGAAATTCATCCGAAAAATATATGCTTTATCGGCAGGTGCGCGCGTATCGTACACAATACGCAGACAAATGAGAATCGCGTATCTAAAAAACAACCGACGAGATAGCGGGCTTTTTTTCGGGAAGGTCATCCTACGGCCCAAAATGAAACTTTCAAGTGTGCGCACACATAGTCTCTCTCTTTCTCTCTCTCTCTCTCTAGCTCAGGTATACACATTGCATAGAGAAAACGGGCTTGCGCGAGAACGCGAAACTCGACAAAAGAAAAACAGAGGGGCACACACACGCGTATTATATTCGAAGCATAGCAGCAGGAAAATAGTCGTAATATAGCCCGCGGGCGAAACCAATTCAGAAAGCTCGAGCAGAGCTGAGCGAGCTTGAAAGACCAGACACGATGCAGCGAGAGAGAGAGAGAGAGAGAGAGAGACAGAGAGTAGTGGCATACGCTGACTTTATTGCGCCGAGGCGCGAGGTGTTTCGTCCTTGACGCGCGCATTGATATGTATGTTATACTGCTGCACGCGCATGCCATACATATTCAAGCGATATGATACGAGCTGACGTATTATTTGTCCCGGTAGTTTCTGCAGCTTGTCGTCTCTCTCGTCCCTTATTTTCTCTCATTATTAACTCTATTCTAACGCTGAACTACATTTACGCGACCTCTCCGTTTACGATCTGTTCCCTCTGGCGTAAACGAGTATCGTCGAACTTTACATATTATCTCCTCTCTCTCTCTCTCTCTCTCTCTCTCTCTCTCTCTCTCTCTCCTTTCCCCAGCTGCTGTTCAACGTGACTCTCCGTCGCTGCGGATTAAGTTTAATTTATATAACCCCCGCGCGCGAAGGATATTTTCACCTCCCTCATTGTGTATAAAGATCGTTCGCAGCGATTTCGAGCGAATCGAAATCTTTCTCCGATCGGGAGAAATGATTCCTCGAGACCGAATGTAGCCGAGAATCACTTCGGCAATCATTGGGTAATGATTCACAGAATACGTTTCGGCTTATTTTCTTGATACCAGTTAAAAATTTGACATAACACCGGGACAAGTACAAGTAACGCAGCACAATTAATAATAATACAATTAATAAAATTATAACCCAACAACACTCTAATCGCTTCATTGTCGGTTATCGTGCATATATAATAAATTAACCTTACTAATTTAACTGCGCGTTTCGAGTGAGACATCTATTGGCGAAGTATAAAATCTATTTTGTAGCGAGGATGGCCAACGTCTCAGGGGCTGCATATTTAATTTTCAATATACCAAATCGACTCCCTAACCCATCAGGCCAACTCGTGCAATATTTTTTGGTCATCGAACGTGACTCTTTCAATTTTATATACGAAACATTACGTGTCCGAGGATCAAAAAACTGTGCGAGCAGAATTGATTTGGTAACGATTACTATTGATGTACGATTGAAAATGAAAGAAATAAATATCTACCTATATTTTATGTATTGGCAGTGATTACATAACGTTATTGCTACTCTCATTGCTACTTGTCGCTGCGCAGGGAAGCGACCCCGTCTGTGAAACAAATGTGACACTCTTGAGCCGCAAAAACCTACGATTATCGGGCTCGCTCGCGCGTTTTTTTACGGATTCACTGTACCCTGTACCAAACGCACCGTAAGAAGTTTTCATATAAAAAAGAAGGTGTAGCAGCAGCAGCAGATGTGGCAGTGAGCGAACAGCAGAGAAATATACACTCGACTTCAGCGAGCGCTCAACGCGACAACAACAATAATAACACGTGTAGACGATATAGATCGCATTTAACCCCTTCGTACGGCTGAAGAGGCACTCTCCCCGGTAGCAACGGCAGCAGCAGCAGTAGTGGCAGAGAAAAAATGTTCAGCGAGTAATTAGCGAGCGCGAAAGAAAGATATGTAAATGTATGAGTGTGCGTGCGTGAGTGTACATTGTACATGTACACCGAAAATTTTTTACTCGCTGTGCGGAAGAACACAGGAGTAGTCGGTGGCGACACGATCGAACTTTTGATTCTGACGGGGTGGCGTAGGAGAAACTTTTTCAACGATTCGATATTCACATATTATTTTGGATATCATTGTCGACATTTCTAAATTACACTCGGCAACAAAATTATCGCAACAAAAAAATTCATCGAAATTTTGTCGATTTTCAAATGCTTCTATCTTGGGCTAGATTTATCGTATCGACACGCTTTTTTTTTTAATTTCTTGGAAATTTTGTCCTCTTCAAATCCATATAAATTAAGATAAGATTCGAGTTAATGTTGAGTTACCAGTAGTATTTGAGCGCGACACTAAAAATTGCTGAAAAAAAATGACTGTTTGAACGTGTACCAGTAACACAGTAATTCTTCTATCGAAATCTAACATACACCATCGCAAAGTGCTCTTTTCAACGAGTAATTTAAAAAAAAAGGACCTCTCTACGATTTTTTTAACGGCCTGTAGGTCGATTTGAAGGTATGGTTTGTGTACGCAAAAAGCCCAGAAAATTGTCTTGATTTCAGCTAAACGGGGGATTTTACGTACTTTAAATGGTATCTTCAAAACGACCTACAGGGCGTTAAAAAAATTGTAGAGAGGTCCTTTTTTTTTAAATTACTCGTTGAAAAGAGCACTTTGCGATGGTGTATGTTAGATTTCGATAGAAAAATTACTGTGTTACTGGTACACGTTCAAACAGTCATTTTTTTTCAGTAATTTTTAGTGTCGCGCTCAAATACTACTGGTAACTCAACATTAACTTGAATCTTATCTTAATTTATATGGATTTAAAGAGGACAACATTTCTAAGAAATTAAAAAAAAAGGTGTTGATACGATAAATCTAGCCCAAGATAGAAGCATTTGAAAATCGACGAAATTTCGATGAATTTTTTTGTTGCGATAATTTTGTTGCCGAGTGTATTTGCCGAAAACGAGCCTATAATTGTTCGAAACAATTTCATTTCAAAAATTGACCAAAATTAATTTTTTTCGATTGGGCAACACTGCATTAATTTACTATTTACTATTTCACGTTTCAAATTGCATGATGCGCACTTCAATCAAGCGTTTATCGTAGAACACCTTAAACAGATTGTGCCTCCGTAATACGAACGAGCTGCTTCGCTCATTGTGCGAAGTCATGCAAGCTTTTCCTGTCCTTTTTTCTTGTGCTCACTTTCTCTCTTACTCGTGCCATGTGTTCGTATAAACTGTGCATGTTTTCAATCTGAATCAAAGGTTATTTGAAGATCATTTAAAAGTCACATCGTGAAAAAAGGTGAATAAATTACGTGTAAATGGTAACTGTAGCATCACTCTAAACAAAAAAAGTGCCTAAAATTATTTAAACAATTTTATTTGAAACAAACGATCAAAATTTATGTTTTTCGATATAACAATACAGTATTATTGTTAATTGGACTATTCAAAAGAAAAGGGTCTCTTTGCATTTTTTTTATAGAGTCAATAGTTTTTGAATTGTTCAACTTTTTTAACAAACACTCGGTTGAACGAAAAGTAGACAAGCAGTTCCTCGTGGCCCGCTCATGCTGCATTACGCGCATCTTTTCCCCTCTTTTTCTCTTGTGTTCACTTTCACTTATACTCGTGCTACATGTGTTCATCTACGATCCAAATAATCATTCAGTAAGCGTTAGGTCGTCTAGGCGTGCACAGCAAAGAACTCGACTGCAGCGAGTGATTCGAAGTGAACATTTTTTAAGTTATAAGTAAAATAGTGTGTGAATCGCGCGTGAATTACTCCGAACAATGTCCCAAGACGTTCAAAAGTGCTTGAGAAAATTAGAAATTATACGCCGACAGATCGATTGGGAGGTGAAAAATGAACGAAAAATGTTTATTAGTCAGCTCGACAAGTTGATCGAGGCCTGGACGAAACAAGCTTCAATTTCCAAACGGCAAAGAAGCGAGCTCGAACTCTCTATCAAACTTCAAGATATTTTAGAGCCGAAAGAAATCAACGATGTTCTCATCGATTCGCTGACGTGGAAAATGCAATCAGACGCAAGAGTATTCATCCAGTTTTTGATCGAGACCGGTTACGAGGACGAGCCCGACTTCAACGAGGACGCCGGGCCACTGGCGCGTCGCATCACACCGATAAATCACGCGGCCAGAGGCAGATCGGGCTTCAGGCATATCCTCATTCCCGAACTCTTTCAAATTTATCACCGATTCGACGTCAATTACATCGACGAGTCCGGTTTGACTCATTTCCACGTAGCCTGCATGTCCGGCTGCGACGACGTCGTCGAGAAATTTCTCGAGCATGGCCATGATCCCAACTATGTCTGGCGGGAGACGGGCGACTCCCCGCTCCACATGGCTTTGTACTACGGAAACATGCGCATAGTCCATCTGCTGCTGAAAAGCGGCGCCGACCCGAACTTGGCCAACAAGGCGGGCTCGACGCCTCTGCACGTCATCTGCCGGGAGAGCTCGAAGGGTCTGGACGTGGCCGTGTGGCTGTTCGAGGCCAGCCACGAGAAGTATCGTCCCGTACAGGTGGACGTCCAGGACAAGGTGGGCAACTCGCCGCTGCACCTGGCTCTGCGCTGCGGCGGCCAGGATCTCTTCGAGTGGCTGCTGAAGAGAATCACCAAGCCGAATCTGGCGGACCTGGAGGGATGGACACCGCTCCACTTGATATGCGACAGGGAGGACGAGGACCGTGCCAGGAAGGAGGACGAATCACGCTGTTTCCTCCCCTTCCACCCCACCAACGAATTCCGCTTGGTGAAGCTGTTTCTGGATCTCCACGGCGATGAGGTGCGAGTCGATGCGCGGGACAGATCCGGCAACACGCCGCTGCATCTGGCTCTGGCGCGCCAACGCCTGAACGCGGCCGAGCTGCTGCTGACACGGGGCGCCGATCCGAATCTGCCCAACGCCGAGGGCGTGACGCCTCTGCACTTGATCTGCCAGCACGACGATACGGATCACCTGGTGGCGAAGTTGTTCCGGCTCTGCGACGCGAGGAATCAGCTGGTGTACGTCGACGCCTGGGACGACAAGGGCCGGACACCGCTGCAATGGGCCGTGGCTAAATACTTGACTAGAACGATCGACTTGCTCCTGATGCGTGGGGCCGATCTGACCGACTTCGTTTTCCCGTCAGAGAGTCAATTCGACTTGAGCGTTTGCAGGTGGCGAGACCAGGAGAGTCGCTTCGAATCGAGAAAATGGGCGTCCATGGTACTGGAGATCGTCGAGCGCCTTCACAGAGGAGGATACAGATTGGAGCTGAACGACGCCACGACCTACATGAGAACGTTCGACCATTTCGGATGGACCAAGTTCCAGGTCACGCTCGAGATGGGAGCATTGTGCCGTAAATGGGCGTTGGGTTTTTTCTTGCAGCTGATACACTACCGATTGCCGATCATTCCCTGTGAAATGATCCTCGATAACCTGGAGGACCAGGATATATATAATATTTGCGTGGCGAGTTGTCGCAAAAATTAACTCGTGATGGACGAGAGCATTATTATTTCAATGTCTGATGTTACAATAATATAAAACATTGTAGATATTTTATTTTATTAAAATAAATAAATTTAAAAATTTGAATTTTTTTGTGTCTCATTTGTATTTCTAGTTTTAGTTAGCGCTCGGCCGCTCGGCGCGATTTTCAGCCTTGCGCGGCTCGCTGTAACTTGTGATTTAGCTGTAAGCTTTCTCATGGCGTAGACGGATTTTCCAATAATTTTCATTTTCACCAAAAAAAAAATGAACTCACAGGTCTATTTTCTACTTTTTCTAATGAAAATTTAAATTATCGGAAAATCCGACTGCACCATGAGAAAGCTGAAAAAATTTCAAATCAAAACCACATGTTCATTTATTTTTCCAGATAAATCACAATGTCATAAGAGCGAGTTATTACAAGTTACAGCCAGCCACGCAAGGCTGGAACTTGAGCACTTTTTTGAGCAGTGAGTAAAAAGATGAAACAACATTTATGCTGCGCTCGAGCCCTCGCGCGCGACGCTTTACGTGTATATTATTGTATGAGAAGAATAAGGAACAATTTTGTTGCAGGATTTTCATTAAATAGTACTACTAATGAACGGAAATGACTTGATAGAGGACTAGATGACTTTATATCTAAACATTCTCAAAAAAACGCTATTAAGGAGGTTCCCATGGGAAACACGCTGGTCAATTGAGTGTTCGCGCAGTAACGTGGGTTAAGTTAGCTAGCTTGTCGTCTGCTAGCCCTAAAACGAGCCGAAAAAGTTTCGTTTTCGCGTCTTTTGTTTAAAAAAAATGAAAAAACGGCAGGCTACCTCTACTTCCACTCATTCCACTGCGAACTTTGATTTCTTTTCATAAATTGTAAATGTAGCTCAAATTTTCATCCATTTCTATGTTGCCCATGTTAATTTGCGAAACTTTGATCGCGTTTTTCTCGAGATTTTGCCTGGCTTGGGCATATGAGAGTTATACCATTGGATTCGGGAGGTCAAAATCTATCGATATTGATATATGTACTTGCGAACTTTGCAAGGGAACCTCCTTATACTAATTCTATCCTAAAATTTGCAGCTTTGCTACTAGTTTTAGGCTCTTGTGATATAAAATATTGTTTGCAAGTATTATCGTTTGCAAATTTCACCTTTACTTGTTAACGAAACGGCATCTTATTTTAGGATTTTACCCTATATGCAGCTGCGTACTCGGTACTCGAAGTTACAAATGCACACATCGCAAATGCGAGCACGTGGGGCTAAGTGGCGTTATCGGAGTATCGAGTATTGTCGTCGCCGTCGATGCCTTGGCTTTTGCCACTCGCTCTCTTCTCTCTTCCCGAGTGCAGCAGCACGGCTATATATACAACATATATATCGTATAGCTCTCGATACATCTACCAGCCCCGGATTATCCCAAGGAATTATTACGCTCTCTGGTTACTTGGGTCGTGCGCGGTGAACGTGGTATAGTATAGCTGCCTTATAATCACGCGGCTTCCGCGCTCTCGAGAGCGCGTGATCATCGGGCGTCGAGTTTTACGATTTCGCCGCTCGCAATTAAAGTTCATTAACTGCGGTGCGGTGTGCGCGATACGTATATATGTTCGGCTAAATATCGTAACGACGACTCGATATCGACATCCTTTTTCATCTCATGAGCTGATCCGCACTGTATCCCTGAATCAATTTCATCTCGAAAAGTACGTACAAAACTATTTTGACCTCCGATGCTTTCCACTCGCTCCGATTGCCAAAGTCGATTTCTTCGCCTTGCATTATGTTACATGTTGCTGTTGTTACTGTTGCTGTCTGAGGGGAGGAACATGAAATAAATGTATAATGCTTGAGTGAGGTTCACACACAAGACTTTATTACAAATATAATAACTTAATACTATTTCAACAAAACTTACAAGCTACGTCGGCAGATGATCGTCGAACTTGATGCTCTCAAGCGTCATACGTTTTCGTTTGCCGGCCTCATTTTCATTATATCTATTTATTGTATTTAAATTTTACAATACTTAATGCTAGGTTATTGGTATATAACAATTACATTTATCGGATAAGTATACATGTATTCTCGATGATATCGATCCAACCGGCGTGTGCACGCATTCGTGACGCCGCATTTTATCCTCCACATCCGTTTCGATCGATTTTCCACAGACAGCATGGCCCCATAGGCGAGAGAGAGAGAGAGAGAAAGAATGAAGCAAGAGACAGAAAGCAACGCCTCGCGCGAAATTCAATGCGATCCACGAGTCGAGCTTTCGAGAACCTCGACTCTCTCTCTCTCTCTCCTACATATAATTTTAATGAAAATGCCGACAAATTTCTAAAGTTGGCAAGCGCGGCAGTTACGACGTACAGACGCTCCACTCGCATACACATGAGGTACGAGCTTGGCGCAAGCTCTACACTCACATACATACGGGGAGGACTTTTTCTCGCTTCTGCCCGGATCTCTTCGAACAAAAACCCTCGCTGCTATAGTACGTACTGTGGTGGCTGTGTACCGCCTCGTATGGAAACGAGAAAAGATCGCGTACATCTAGTAATAGTAGTGGTGATGGTACGCCGAACTATAGAGTCGAGATTCGTAGCTGCGCTCCTCTTCATATACACACACACCTATATACCTGCGATTGTACGTATCCATATGTATGTATGTACGTATGTGTCGCGCAGACAACGAGGAAATGAAAATACGGGAGCTTGCGAGCTCCGCTCCGCGGCACAAGCACGAGTTCATTGAACCGCGTACTATATGTGTGTGTGTGAGTGTGTAGCTCGAGTGAGACTGACGCATGGGTGTGTGCACGTGCGAATTGTGCTCTCTCTCTCTCTCTCGAGGTATGGGTATATTTGTTGAATACGTTCGTTCGGTAAATGTACGTATGTGTGTGTGTAGAGAGTATTGAGATCGGGGGATGGGATGAGTGAGAAACCGATGTGCTCAGCTCAGCCTCGGCTCGCGCGCTAATTTCTCAAAGTGCTCCGCCGCACGAGAGTCGCGCGCAAGCTCCATATTTATACGCGTGTAAGGTACAGACGTACGAATGCGTGCTTTTTATTCTTCGATCTTTACAGCGCGCCGCGGCAGCAGTTCCGCGGCGGGCGAAGAACAAGCATTTGTTCGTAGCACACACACACTCAAGGGAGTATACGTACGCATCGACTTAATCAAGCAAAAAACCAGGCCGCTCGTACATGCGTACACAGTCATCTCAGCTGAGAATTTGGCAAACAACGACGAAAAAAAAATCACCTCTGCTCCAAGTGCTGTTTTATCGTCGCTACTCTACTATATACACGATAGCTGCTCGTCGTCGTCGTCTATATAGCCAAGCGAGCAGTCGAAACTTTCAAAGTGAAATTACACATAAGGTTTTTGGACGCTCGATTCTATAGTATAGTCGCCCCCCGGAATAATACAATCTGGTCAGTCTGCAGCTAAGAGGATCGGATATCCGGAGGCTATATGTTATATAGCTGGCTCTCTCGTCGACGACCGAGCTTTCGTCTGCGAAATCCGCGCGCATCCAAAGAGTAATAGTAAAGCTCGGAGGAACAAAACACCACCAGCCAGCCAGCCAGCCAGAGTGAAATCGTCGAAAACTAATTATCTCCCGCGCGCGCGCGTACGTATACCTACCCTACTATAGTTCGCTCGCGCGCGCAAGTGCTGACGACGCAGGGCTTCCTCTCGCGTAAGTGTAATTACTCAAACAGCAGCGGCGCACGGGCCAACATGTGTACGTACTAGGGACTATACTGTGTACCTATATGCTCTATCCTCGCGCGAGCGCTAAAGACAATTTAAGTGCGTGTGCATGGTCTCCCTATGTATGTGTGTTTGTGTGCATTGCACTGCACGCAGGGCCAAAATCGCTACCTCGAGTAGAGACCCTTCGTCGCGATTCAGAACGATGCGTTCGGCGCGCACAGCAATTTTGACCTAAGCTATACACTCGAAAGTCCATGCAGGAGTCGTTTTCTCGGACGAAAGGAACGAATCAGCCGGAAAACTATATACATACGGTACAGAGAGGGTCAAAAAACAGGTTTCGGGTATAACTAATCGATCTCTCTCGCGTTACACACACGCGCGCGAAAGGCAAAGTATCCGTCGTGCACGCTCAAACGGAGGCTCGCTGCTGCAGAGCCAGAGAGACCGCACAGTTTATCACCGGCTAATTGGATTGCCGAGATTGCTTCCCAACCGTTTTCTCTCTCTCTCTCTCGTCGTCCTTCTCCCGCAGCACACGTATCATATATATACGCCCCCGCGCAGCGGTAGCACAGGTTTCCACCCTTTCTCTCTGTGCACGCGAGCAGAGGCGGCAATTACGTTTCGCGCAAATCGACGTGTGTGTGTGTGTGTGCGAGCGAGCGCGATCTTTTTCCTGTGAGCGAGGGAGATCCTTGCCCGACCCTCGCCACGCGTGTGCAGCTGTATATACCGTATACCGTACTACTGTACGAAACGATGCGAGAAATAGAGAGAAAAAGGGATGGCGTATTTAAACGCCGAGTCGTCGTCGTCGTCTGAAACGATTTCACGTACGACTGCGGCCAATGCGCGCCTCTGTGTGCAGGATATCGCTTCTTTCTGTATATCCGAGCTTTTTTCAGTGCACACCTGATATATGGGGGGGGGGGGGGNGGGGGGGGGGGGGGGGGACACATACGGTTGCGATTTCAAAATGCGGTTAGAAAAGTTTCACCTCGAATCGCCGTACATTATCGACAACTAGTTTATAATTTTTCACGAGCTCGAAATCCATTGGGACGCACTGTGTATATACGCACAACGCGCGACAAGCGACAAGCGTACGTTTGACATAACCGCATTCACGCTCGATGTGTATGTGTGTGTATACACGGGGGCGCGGCGCGCGATTTACTCGGTGAGATGGATTGGGGGTGACTCGAGAGCGAGGGAGAGCAGCGAGGCTGCACACGGACGGAAACTCATCGAATAATTTCGAATCAATTCCGCGTTGATTTATAAGAGTTTTGTGTACGCGGTGTTTGCGGATAGAGAGTAGAGTAGAAATGTACTGTATATCCGTTGAAAGTTTTGCGCGAGTTTTCTCTCTGCTCTCTCCGCCTCGTCGTGGCGGTGCGCTCGTATATATATAGGGCCAATTTGTGGAAATTTTAGCTCTCGATGCTTCGTTTCGTTCTTTTGTGTGTTTACGGACATTTCAGGCCTTTAAATAGTTGGAAATAAAGAAAAAACAACTGAGAGGAGCTACCGTCGCAAATCTTCGTTTAAAGCGTTGATTATTCCAAGTGCATCGAGCCAATTCGCGCAGACAGAACAATTCCAATTATTTTGCCACCAAAATCAAACAAAATAAAACACAACGAAGATTACTTTATTTTTAGTCAAACTTAGAGTTCGTTAAATTTTTTTTTTTTCGTTCGTTACCCAAAAAACTATTTCAACAAAATTATCGAGCCGTATACGTACCTTTCACCCTATACAGTGACCGAGCGAGACAGTGTTTATGGGAGTTAAACTACATACGTATACACGTGTGTGTGTGCGTCTATATATCGCGGGCGTGTACTCGCACACGTCCAGGTGTTGCGCTCAGGGAGTTCGTACGTATAACAAACCTCCCTCCTCACCCTCACCCTCACCCTCCCCCAGCTGTGTTGTTCCATTGGTGCGTTAAAGCTGATTTAGGAGTTACACAGAGCCTAGCTGACACACAGTACGCCGCCGTCGCGTTTACCCCGCCGAGGGAGTTGTTTAGAATAATTAGTAAATTGCCATGATACCGTGGCGCCTGCTATCTGTTAAAAGTGCCCGCGTACAGTAGAAGCTCGGACAAATATATAAGTAAACAATGATTAACGCGACTCGCCACGCTAGAGCTACGCGCGCCGGGGTTTTATCATAATTATGCGTGTATACAGAGCATAAGCTCGGGGAGTTTGTATTATGGGTGAACTTGCTAACAAGCGTTATTTTTAATATGCGTTTTTTAGCGCGAAACATTTCATTGATACTGATAATCGGGTCATCGACTCGGGACGTTTTTTTTACATCTTTGAGCTCTCTCGCGATCGTCGGCGACTCGGAAAAGGACACACGATCTGGGAGGAAGCTCGATGAAAAATGCAAAGGGTTAAAAGCTGTGACAATGACGACGACGCCGCGATGCCAGCCTGAGAGAGTTCGGTTGCGCTCGAGCACAGCTAAAATTTCCGATAAATCGATACTCCACGTAGGCGCGCGCTCGAGCCCGTCTCTTCGTTCACACGTACTACACAGCATCGGCCATGGCTGCATCCGTGTATGAGCGTGTGTGTGTTTATGTGTCGTGCAGCAGCTGCTGCTCCTGCGTATCGTACGTACAACCATTGAGATTCTGCGGCCAGTGAGTATATCGACCATGGCTGTGTGTCGTCTGTGTGTGTGTATACTACTATGTACTACTGTACGCAGTGACACGTGCCCGCGGCAAAAATAAATAAGCTAAAAACGAGGCAAGCAGCAGCAGTAGCGTAGTCGACTCGACCTCCAGCCGTTATAACCGTTGAGTATTATGCGCGCTATATTACGGCGTGTTACACACTTTCAGCTAAATAACGCGTGGAGTCCCCGAGCTTGCGGCATTATCGCAGCTTCGCGAGAGACACGTCGCAGAGAGATGCGCCCATTTGACTCGATGGAGAATGCTTGTCCGCGTCGACTCCGACGTATCGGCTATCTATAGCTTTTGAGAATGGCATTTCCAGTGTTCGCAATTAAAAACGTCGATTGGGATCAATGGGACAAGAATACGAGCTTGTCGAAGCTTTTTTAATGAAATCCATGCGTTTTTGTATTATTAAAAATTTTTTCGACAGTTTATTTTACAAGGTTCTACATTCGGCCTTACGGTAAAGATACGATGATAAACTATGATACATCGAGGTTCCTCCTACCTTCCCTCGGCGCGGGTGGGCAGTCTGCCAGAGCTGAATCGCTGAAAAGCTGTGTACTAATTTTAGGTGCATATACGCCAGGAGAGACAGAGTCGCTGACCGGGACATCGAGTCAGAGATCCATGTGGGGGGGAGGTTTGCTCCGTAGGATGGGGTACACGGGGAGGGGGGGGGGG